TTAGATTATGCAAGAAAATAAATCTATACTATAAAATAAAAGTGCAAGATAATAATGTAAAATAAAGACATGAATGTGAATCTACTCTACAAGGCATTAATGTAAATCTAAACTACTAAAAGAAGAAAAGAAATTACTACAATATGAATAAAAAAATAAAAGATAAAAGGGAAATTTACATTACAAGAGGGTTTTAGCCTCTTGAAAGCAAACTTTCATCTTTATCTTCATCTTCAAATAAAGCAAAGAAAAGAAATATATGAAGAGGTGAAATTTTTTTTATTAATTATAATAAAGTTATAATTTTTTGGAAGGTCTTCTCAATTAAGAGTAACCCTTCTATCCAAATAGAATTTTTATAAAAAATTTGACACTCAAAGCCCTCGGCCTCTATCCCTATTTATAGCCTACAATAATGAATAAAAACCCTTAGTTTTTTCTTGGAGATCAAGGATTAAATAACAGCCATAAAACAGTTTCTGTTGTGAACCAATTGCTTGGCCAATCAGTTAGCCAACTAATTGGCCAATCAGTTGGCCGACCAATTAGTTTGCAACATATTAGTTTTTTTGTAATTTCCTATATGATTTCTTCATGAATCCTTAAGATTTCTTAGGCCTTCTTGTGTCTTCATATTTGGGCTTCAATAAATGGTAGAAAATCTGGGAATTTGATTCTTTTAGGTGTTTTTTCATTAATCCTTCATTAACTTATAAATTAAGATAAAAGTCATTTATTAGTAATATTTGTATTTAAATGAAAAAAATAATGGGGGTGTAAAATATAATAAAAATATGATTATTATATTCTCATCGGTCCATGTCGCACTAACGATGTATGGACATGAATTTGAAAAGGAAGGAGATTCTCAAGGAGACTTTAACTCAGGAAGTTGGCTGAGGAAGAAATGGATGGCACTACTCATTTGTGTGAGTGGGGGTATGTTGATTATTATTATAAAATAGACAACCGAATAAGTTGGTAGATAATAACTTATTGTAGAGATAAGATATTCATAATCCTAATAAATGTAGGATTCTATCTCTAAGCCCTTTTATATATATATATATATATATATATATATATATATATATATATATATATGTATATATACATAGTATATATATACTTATACCACTATTAGTATATAGTATACATACTATATATTATAGTAATATATATATATATATTATATAGTTATTATATATACATATAGTATAATATATATTATATTATATATATATATATATACTACCTATACTTTATTGTTCTTATAAGCACAGAACGAGAGCAGAGAGACCGGAGAAACTGCGGCTACTGCTTCAGCTACAGCAATAAAAGTTGTGCTTGCTTTAGGTGAGATGTGCATAATTCCCCTCCACTTATTCAAATTGGTTGCACATTCCCCATACACTCCCTTAACCCTTTGAATGTGATCCCCTATTGGACATGAGTGAACAGAGAAGGATTGTGGCACATCTCTAACAAGCACCTAACAATTTTGCTTGGCACTTAAATTCATACCCATCATTTCTTTATGTTATCTATGCTTATATTATTAGATAAACTATTATAATATATATACTAATCGTACTCATTATATTATATATATCCCTTATATATATATCCTATAGGTACTACTAGTATTATACTATATACGTTAGTATAAGTATAACCTATATAGATTAATTGAGCGTATCCTTGTCATAGAGGAATTTCCCCTCCTTATCCGCCTATGTACACGAATCCCCACATCACATAAAGTAGGCACAAATCCACACAACTGCACGGACTCTCTATGCGCTAACTTGTATAAGGACGTGGCGCGATGCGGTGCCACATCAGGCGGGTCAAGGAGGAAATTCCCCTCCTATGATAGGATACTCCATTAATCTCACTCTATATATATTATATATTATATATACTATATATATATTATATATATATATATATATATAGTAATAATTATACTATCTATATATTCTATATATATATATATCTATATAGTATTATATATATTACTATATATAGCTATACCTATATAGTATATCATATATATATTAATATACTGATGTATATGTGAGAGAGAGAGATGAGAGAGAGAAATGGAGAACTCAGAGAAACTTCCGGAACTAAGTTACTTGGTAGTGATGTGGCCTAATTTTGCCCCTACATCACACCTCGAAGATAGTACCCCAATCACTCTTTACCAACTCCAATGTAGATATATGAACAAGATTAGGTCACATCACTACCATGCTACTTGGTACCAACTCCAATGTATATATATATACAGTTCGTTTCTCATGCGCAGCAGTGCGTATGCATCCAGCCTATTTTAGCGAATGAAGGGATTTTTTTGAAAAAAATCCTTGATAATTGTAAGCGAGCTCGTGACCATACTTGGCATCGAGGAGTGGGGGATTTTTTGAAAAAATCACCGAAGAGCGGGTTAAATCCTCCACCTGACCACTCTCTCTCTCTTCCTATTCCAAAACCCTTATACCTAAAATGAAATCCCCGTCACCGAAAGTGCCGGCCCCATCACCGTTGTAGTTGACATCCTCATCACCGCCACCGACTAACGTCATCAAAAACCCCTGTTGTCGACATCCCCATCACCGACCGCCACCGACAAAGTCATCGAAAGCGCCGGCCGTGACATCCCAAAAACCACTCTTATCCCCCGCTTTCGACAACCCCATCACCGCCAGCTGTGACATCTCCATCACCGAATCTCGACGTGCCCATTTCTCTTCCTACATCAAGCCATCAACCACCCCCAACTCCGGCGATCGCGACATCCCTATCACCGCTGACCGTGACCGATCTCCCTCAAGCTCTCTCTCGAGATCCCCCAACTCAGGTACGGATCTCTCTTTCTCTTGCATTGAAGTCTTTGATCTCTCACATTTACTTTATCCAGAACAACTTCACTATCCTCACAATTTATTTTCTTTTCCTTGATATCCGAACTCTGTGAACTGGACTTAACAACTTTTGTTTTGTTTGCTGCCTCTACTAGACAATTTAAAGGTTTCCAAAGTTCAGATTTATCTTTAGGGGATGCTTTTGTATAATCAGTGTTCTTGTAAAGTGTATAATCAGATGGATCCACAGTAGAAGAGATCCGCAAAAAATAGTAAACTGTGTCAGTAAACATATCTATAGTGAAATTGCTCCAAGAATGAAAAGAACTCTTTTAGTATGCAATACTTGCTGCATCTTAATCTGCATATATTTTTAACATGGTTAATTGCAGAATACTTGCTACATCTTAATCTGCAAATATTTTTAACATGGTTAATTGGAACCTTAGAAAGCATAACGTTCTTTCCTCAATTTCAGAACGCAATTTAGTCTTGTTTTTATTAATCTTTTGTTGCATAAATAGTAAACAATTTTAATTGATTTTTTTTTGTTAGAATGTAAAACTTGGGCACTGAAGCTTTTTCCCTCCTTCGACGAGATTATACCGAATTTATGAAATTTGATATTATATGCATTTTATATAGGTCAATTACAATTTTTGTGAGAAATGGATAGCTTGGGCACTAAAGCTAATGAAGTAAACTTGGACGACGATGATTTGATATATACTCCTCAAGTATGAGATGAGTTGAGGCCAAAAAAGGGGCAAGAATTTAACATAATAGATGATGTTATGATATTCTACAATGCTTATGCTAAAGTAGCTGGGTTTAGTGTAAGGTCTTGGACTACTCAGAAAGAGCCGGGAAGTTGTGAAATAAGAAGGAAGGAGTATGTTTGTTTTAAACAAGAAAAATCTCTAAAAATCGCGGATGTTGGAAAGAAAAGACGTCGAGGAAGCTTAGCTGAGGATTGTACTACAAAAATTATAGTTTTAAAATCAAACTCCAGAAAATACATTGTTACTGTTTTTAATGAGGAGCACAGCCACCCGCTATCAACACCATCAAAGGTTCATCTTTTAAGGTCCCATCGTAACGTTTCAGCTACAACAAAGTCTTTAACTAAACAGTTTTCCTTGGTGAATATACCTCAGCATCAATAATTTAGTTTTCTTGGAAAACAATCTAGAGGTATAGTAAATATTAGGTGCACTCAAAGAGATTTGTATAATCATGAAAGAGATATATGTGCTGATATGAAGGGGCATGATGGAGAAATGTTTTATGAGTATTTAAAATTGGAACAAGGAAAGAATCCCTCGTTTACTTTTCAAATTGAGGCTGATAAGGAACAAACGATTACTCGTTGTTTTTGGTCCGATGCACGTTCAAGGTGGGCTTACAATTTTTTCGGTGATGTTGTAATCTTTAATACTACGTATAACACTAATCGCTATGGCCTGATATTTGCACCAATAATGGGGGTTAACAATCATGGTCAAACAATTGTTTTTGCTTGTGGATTTTTAAAACATGAGAGCGTTGATGATTTTGTATGGTTATTTAAACAATTTTTGGAAAGTATGTTTGGTGGTGCCCCGAAGATGATTATTACCGATCAAGACCCAGCTATGACTACGGCATTCCCTCTTATTCTTCCAAATACTTTTCACAGGTATTATAGTTTGTGTATATTATTAAAAATATTTATATACATAGTCTTTCTTTTTTTAACACTTTGTTTAATTCTTTTGGTAGGTATTGTAGTTGGCATATATTAATGAAGTTTCCTGAGAAAGTTGATGCAATAAAGTATGGTATTTATAAGAGTGAGTTCTCGGCTTGCATTTGGAAATCGGAGACTCCTGAAGAATTTGATTTACAATGGGAAAGTTTGATTAAGAAAAGTGGGTTAGAAGAAAACAAGTGGTTGCAAGACATGTATGAACTTCGGTCAAGATGGATTCCTGCATATGTTAATCACGTGTTCTCAGTAGACATGTCAAGCAGTCAACAAGTAGAAAGTGGACATGCATTCTTCAAGAAATTTGTTTCGAAGAATTATTCATTGGTGGATTTTATGATATAGTTGGCATGAGACTAGTGCGCCAACGTCACGAGGAGTTGATGGCCGATCACAAAGATATAATTGAGAAACCTAAACTTAGAATAAATCATGACTTTTTGGAGCAAATGGTTGATATTTACACGAATGAGATGTATTACAAGTTTGAGGCTGAAGTGTGTGACAGCTTTAACTACAAGTTGCAGTTTGTTAGGGAAACCGACAATCACCGTGTGTATCAAATTCAAAGAAAGAAGTTCACAACAAGTAAAGTCTGTGAAATCGTTTATGACAAGGACTTGGATTTGATTTCTTATAGTTGTAAAAAGTTCGAAAGCGCCAAAATCCCATGTACGCACATTATTTCATATTTGATGAAATTTGATGCTGAAATATTGCCTGATAAATACATCTTAAAGAGGTGGACTAAGTCCGTAAAATCAGAGACAGTGGATGATGAAAAAGGTATGTAGATAACCCCTGACAATTCTTATCTTTTAACGCGGAGTCAATTTATCCAATCATCTTTGGATTTAGTTGACAAGTCCCTCGTATGTGAAGAAACAAGGAAGATGTTTACCGATGGATTGCGTAGCGTTAATGAGCAAATTGACCAATTTCTTATTAGCCGCATGACTATAATGAGCTTCACCGAGAAAAGTAATCCAATATGTAGTGCAACTGGTTCTTGTACTTTTCAAAATAGTTTTAATGAACCTGATCAAGTGTGAGCAAAAGGGTGTGGCAAAAGGTTGAAAGGAGGAAAAGAGAAAGCAATGGCTAGAGCTAAAAATAAAAAAGATTGACGTTGCCACGGGCGTGGTAAAGTAGGCCAATCACATGATAAGCAAAATTGACCGGCACTCACAAATCTATAAGTAATAATTTATGTTGTCTTATTTTTCACATTCTAGTATAATTGTTGATGTATATATATATATATATATATATATATACATTTGTTAATATAATGTAGGTCTTCTACATGCGGTGATACAAATTTGCAAGAGGGCAATGGGCCTTCAAGTGAAGATGGAGATGATATAAGCCTAAAGCTTTCTTGATTAAGTGAGTGTGGAAATTATGCCAAAGCCTCATAGCTTTCTAACTAAACATTTCATTTGTTTTTAATAGCATCTTTCGTAAATATGTTCACATGCATGTCGAGCTGGGTATTTTAAGAGTTTGATTATATCCTGCACCTTTCATTTCTATTTCTAACTAAACATTTCATTTATTTTTTGCAGGTTAGGTTACTCTAATCTCGAAGAAGAAAAAGTTTCAGGGTTTTGTTGTGTGTTTGTGTAGCTGGGATCAACCCACATTTAACTTTGTAGTTGTTTATGTTTGATTGCAATGAATGGAGAAGGATTTGTTGAAGTTTTGTTATGTATTGTAATGGGTACTAATTTTTCTGCTGGGACTTGAGTTGTAAACAAACCAATTCTGGGTGTCTTTATGCTGAATATGATACTATAATGTAGTCACTGAATTGTTTGAATATGATACTATGATGATGATGGTGATGAGAATTATTTTTAACCAATTCAGGGTCTGATGCTGAGTGTCTGGTGCTCTTTTTGGACATGCCTATTTCTGTGAGGTATTCTGTGAGTTGGAGCATCTCTAGAGAAAGTTGCCATCAAGAAACACAACCCTAATGAAATGCAATGGACCTTGATTTCTTATTGTTTAGTAAAATAGTGTATTTAAGCTATAGTTGAAATGGCAATCATCTTTGGATTTAGTCAACATGCTGCACCCAGGTGCATTTATTGTGGCGACGAACCTGTACATGCTTGCCCGGTGACAGGAGGCCCAGTATGTGATCTTTGGCAGTTGGAAGGACTGCCTGCAGCCTGCAGGGCTGAGTGTACTTGGTATATATGTGCCATACTCTGATCTTATGGTTTCCATTGCATCTCAGTACAATGAATCCTATGTCAACAAATTTAATCCTTGATCATTTGGTCTTAGTTAATTAGTTTAGCTTTTATGTAGGAAGTACTAAAATATTTAATTTTGTTGTAGCTAATGTTCTGCAAAAAATGTTTTTCTTCTCATACATACAGCAACAAAAATAGCCAAGCGTGATGAAATACATGCCAACAAGCAAAGGCTCAAAATTATTGCGCATTAACTGATTCCCCAAGAGTATTCACAAAATCATGAAATGGATATATTGTAAGCTCATCCACTTAATGACACAAATTATGCAAGTTTATCCAACCAATGCAAGCTCAGCCACAAATTACATCATATGTTTTTTGCAATAGAGAAACCAACTAATACCACAACGATACATACTAGAAACACTAATATTATAAACAATGAACCTAATACAAAAGCATAGATTGAGAAAATAGAAGTTTCCCCAAGTTTTTCCTTGTCCTCAACCAGATTATGCCTCACTGGATATCTTTGTTCTTGAGCATAAATTGATGTTTGGACATGCCTCGAGCTGGATGCTGAATCATAAGCGAGTGTGTACTTCTCCCATTCAATCAAATCCTCTTCGTACGTTGCATACCCTTTGTAGGAGGCATTTAGGAATTTATCTACCTGAGATTTGCATTCCTCCTAATTATAAAAAATATCACATCATCGACCTCTCTTCACAACATAAAAACTTTTTCTAGCTATGGATAACCTGAAAATACCCCAAATTGGAGGGTAAACAAAATAAACAAAACTTTGGCAATTGTCACTAAATAATTGCCTGCTGTTCCAAGAAGCAGGTGCCACTGAATATATACATCCAATCCATTAAATATAAAAAACCTCATTCTCACTATTATAGTTTTGCCTATAAATGCACACATCTAGTATAAAATCCTTTGTCTATAAATGCACACGTCTAGCCAATTCTAGCATATATTGGGATTTAATCCAGCTCCAACTTAAATTTCTCATATAAATTTACACTAGTACAAAACAGGTCAGCCCAAACGGTTGGAACCGTTTGGGAAAACTCCCTTCCAAACGGTTACAACCGTTTGGGAGAGGTAAAAAACCCGTTTGGGCTAAAGCCGTTGGGGACGAATTGTCCCCAACGGTCGCCCAAACGGTTGTAACCGTTTGGGCAAAACCCCAAACGGTTACAACCGTTTGGGATATTGCCCAAACGGTTATAACCGTTTGGGGTATAAAAATTTACCAAACGGATGTAACCGTTTGGCCAAATGTTAGCCCAAACGGTTGAAACCGTTTGGACAATTTTTTGCCCAAATGGTTTCAACCGTTTGGCCTGTTTTTCACCCAAACGGTTTTAACCGTTTGGGCTATTTATTTTAATAGTTTTTAAATTTTTACTTCTTTATTTATCTACCTGTTTATATACACATCTCACATAATAAGTACTCAACATCTCACAATGAAATCAAAATATTCTCAAACTTTGCTAAATATCCAATGTTATATATTCATACACAATGTTTACTCAATATATAATATTAGAGTCAAAACATATACATACACAATGATTACTCAATATCTCATAATGAAAAGCATCTAATATTATATATTTGTCTCTAGCATCCAAAATGTCCAACATAATCAATCAAGTCAAGAAAAAGAAGAAACTCCTCGAAGAATGTCCTCTTGAGACAAACCCGAACACCTCAAGTCTGCAAATATCCTAACAAGATTCTCCTGTGATAAACCTTGAGCACTAGAAGTAGACGTGTTAGTAGCACAGTTGAAGGCTAAAATTAGTTTGGCTAACATCTTGCTGATCAAGAAAATCATGAAGAAACTGTACGTGTCTTTTCTCGTGGGGGTACATGTAGAAGAGACTTCAAAAGGGTAGGTGAGAGTCTGTCCAAATAGATCTGCTAAAGCACCGCAAGAAAGCCGCAACGTGACAGACTTCTGGTAGTCCTTAGGAACGCGGGTCTTCAGCTCTTCATATATGTAGAATTTCAATCCAGCATAAGGAAGGATTCCGATAAGTGTTCGGCCTACATTAATTGTAAACATGATCAAGTAAAATAAGAGCTCAGAAAATGTAGCACATACTTTTGCAGCAACCATCAACTTCATCAAATATACTCTCCGGTGATCTTATCTACTGATGACGAGTGGGTCCCAAATATAGTTTCTTTCTCCAAATATAGTTCTATTTTAATAATAAAGGGGGAAAACATGCCTTCACTTTAACCCCAATGTATTTTCCAACTCTTCCCTCTGGATCTGGATCACGAGTCCCATCCTCATCAAGATCATCATCACCACGATCACCATCCTTCACAGCAATTACTCTAATGTTAGAAGATAAACAGAAAACATACATGGAAAATTCAGTAATACAACCAATTTATCCAACTAAAATCAAACATGTTCAGCCAGGCTCAATGGCACATGGCATGTGCAGGAATGAATGTGTCACCCGTGCACACATCAATACAGACAGAGAAATGTGCTTCTTGTTACAGATAAACTTGAGTTAAGAAAAGGGATTGCATGTGAAGTAAATAAGGTTATGGCAATATCTTAGCTAATGACTAGTCACTTAAGCATCTCAATATATGATTTTCCAGCTGTAACATAAAAACAGATTTAGAAAAATCTGATTCACTATATACTAAAGAATAACAGACCTTTTTTCATCATAACTAAGTAACCATGGCCACCTTGCACAAACTCCGAAAATACTTCCCAGAAATGCCTTGCAACACCTTTAAATGTGCGCTCAATGGACTCATCTTTTAGCTGGTCCAGAACTGAAATGAGTTCTTTAATTTTCTGCGCCATACAATGTAGTCAAACTCTGTACCTGCTGGTAACAAATAACATCATTTTGTAGGTTTGCACATGATGTTGGATAGAGAGTAGTACCTAATCCCCAGCATCAAGTTCCGCTTGTCTTTTCTGTAATTGTTCTAGTTGCTCCGTGAAGTTCATATACTGGTCAAGAGCCTTTTTGTTGACATGGCTAAATTGATGTAGCTGCTCATTGCACTTATGCAGCATCTTTTGTAATTCTTTCATGCCTTTCCTCTTATACCTTTAGCATTTAATAAAGGAAAAGGCATGAACATACATATCAAACATAAATTGCAAGAATTGATGGCATGACAAATATTATAAAAATTATTTACAAGCTACAGCTGCAGTGATAGGGGGATGGGATCTGTTAGCTAAAATGTTTGGCAAGTTACTTTAAAGTGTAGATCCTTGATTTCCCTTGCTTCAACATCATTTCAAAATAACAAATGAAGAATAGTCATTAATTATTATGGTAGTTTAAACAACTCTGCATCTGTCAACATTTTCATAAAAAGCATTCGGACTTATTTTTTGCTTTAACTCTGCAATTATAATGATTGTAGCTCCTATAAAAAGCAAATCAAGGTGAAGTTGTAAGAATTCCGAAGCTGCCCACGAGGCTTTGTAAAAACAAAACGGGAGATCCAAGATGGAGAAGTCAGCGAAATTCAAAACCTAAGTACATACTAATCTGACCTTAAACAATCATCTTTAATTAATTGTCTAAACAGATGGCGACCAAACATAATAGAACTGACAATGGCAATGTCACAATATAAAATAGCAACATACAGAAACATGACTAAGAATTGACAATAACCAATGTGCTCATACTATTTTGACAGCATAGAGCTTATGCAAGTTTCTATCGGAAACAAGCATAAGAAAAAGTTTAGAAACTTATTAAAGCAGGGGTCAAACAAAGACATAAGTATTACAATCTAACATCAAATTTACTTCTAAACCAAATAAAAGACTGTTGTTACCAAAAAAATTATACATTACACTCAATAGGAGAGTGACCGGATTTGAAACAGATATGAAGTGGTATTTGTCATACTGTAACTGTGATAAAAAACCACATTTACCATACCCGCATCTATTTAATAAACAAATGGACTGGATAATCATATAATCTGCTAAAAAAATCCTATATATACATCCATCCATCAGAATGCTACACAGATCCCGAGGAAGAAATAAAGATATATAGATGCTAAATTTCGCAGTGGGATAACAGAAGCTTTGATGCAAGGACTTAACTTGTAAACCACATTACATTCAATAGATGCTAAATGTCACTAATAAGATAGCAAAAAACAGAAACATGCACAGGAAAGTACGTTGTACATCAATACTGCACTAAGAAAGATTTAGAGGTGGCAATTCATGACTTAAGGCATGTTGTATACAGTAACTATGAAAAACAGTACCTGAAAATATAAAAACAATTTATTTACTACATATGGTTAAGAAAGAGTTAAGCCACAGTAATGGTAACAAACAGAAGATGATCACAGAAACTCAGTTCTCTCAGTGACATTCACAGAAATGATAAGATGGAACATTTCTAAATGCTGCTGTGATTATTTCATCTATTTTATGTGCTTAATTAATGTATGTACATCAGTCTGAAATGTGAAGTGATATTTTTATAATGTGCATCAAACATATGACGCATAGAGCTGAGATCACGAGTAGTAATGAAACTTGGTATTGTTTCTAAGAATACCAGAGCTAAAATAAACTTTGCCAATTCTACTTTAAATATTATTGTACATATAAATTAAAATTTAAACAAAAATAAACCTGAAAGACAAACTTACCTACTCTTTATATGGAAGTCTGGGACCGGCATCAGAATAAACAAACCACCAGACAAACCGTACAATTGTAGCAAGACCAACATAAGCTGGATAACTAGATAAAAAGAGTTCATAAGAATTTAATGAGACAGGGTTTAACTGTAAAATACTACTGACTTAAACTAAGTTGACAAGGTTATAAACTAAGTTGACAAGGTTATACAGGGAAGCCCCTTGGCATGTGGTAAAGATGTTGTAGTCAGAATGATGAGATCGTTTAGAATATGATGTTTACAAATTATTGTAAACTCAATCGACATTGATTTCAACTTTTCAACTTAAGATACAGAAGAAAACGAAGCAGAAAACATTTCGAATATAATGTTTACAAATGTTTATGAATCAGTCACCAAACTAATAAGCACCACAATATCATGAAACTATATTTCCAGAAATATATTATCTTCAAACAACAGGACATCATATCGACCCCCAAACGTAATTTCCCGATGCTTAAGACTCATACCCCCATCAATTCAAAAAAATCATTAAAAAGCATCTAAATCAGACAAATGCAACTAAAACAAAGAGGGGTTTTGTGTATACCTCGTCATTCAGTTTCTTAATACAACCGATGGATGGAAGCAGAGGAGGAGGAGGCGGAGGAGCGCCGGCGAAGATGAGGGAGGAGGAGGGGGTATGATGGCCCGCGGAGAAGATGAGGGAGCCCCGACGAACGAAGATGAGGCGAAGATGAGGTGCGTTGGCCAGCGGCAACGGTCGGACTTCGACGGGGTCGGATAAGGCGAAGACGAGGGGGTTAGGGATTTGAGAGTGCGGTGATGAAAATTTTAGGGATGACTTTAATGTGGCGCTGGGACGAAAATTTTGGGGATAGTGGCGCTGGAATGAAAATTTTGGGGGGAAACGAAAGGAAAAATGCTTCTTCTTTTTTTAACTAATAAAAACTCCCGAACGGGGTTAACCGTTTGGGTTGAGATATCCCAAATGGTTATACCCGTTTGGTGCAGCCGTTTGGGATTTTTTAACAATCCAAACGGTTTTATCTGTTTGGGGTTACTATCCCAAATGGTTATATCCGTTTGGGCTATTTTTACTTGTCCAAACGGTTGTAATAACCGTTTGGACTGAGCTGTTTTGTACTAGTGTTATACCACTTTAAATTCCATACAAGCAATCATTGAGTAAAAACACTTGCGTTTCATCTTTAAAAGCCCCAAAATTTATACCTATACTTACAGAAATAATTAATTATAAAAACACTTGCGTTTCATCTTTAAAAGCCCCAAAATTTATACCTATACTTACAGAAATAATTAATTAACACGCATGAGCCACAAATAGTTAGAAACAGTTAAGTGCTTACTACCAAAAACTACCCATTTGACTGTTTCAGTGTTACGCTGTGGTCTAATTTGTCATAAATAATTTCTCCAATAATCGTAAATGTTAAGCGAGCTAATAAGCATATATGTTTGTGCAGCAGGAGCAACAAATGGCATTAGGAAAGAGATAGCAAGAGTTCTAGCGCTGATAGGGGCTAAAGTCATAATACCATCAAGAACACTCGAAAGCGGCATCAAGGTTAATGAAAGCCTCCTCGAACAGAATCCATCAGCGGAGCTCCAAGTATTGGAGATGGACCTAAGCTCCCTCCACTCAATTGACTCCTTCGCGCGCTCCTTCAATTCATCAAACAAACACCTTAACATCCTCATGTAATTAAGCCACAAATCGATCTCCATAACAGAATAAAAAAAAATCCTAATCAAAACTCATAAAAGCTCAGGATCAAGATATTAACTTACTTGAAATGGGCATCAACTTATCTGAGTTGGGGGATCTCGAAAGAGAACTCGAGGGAGATCGGCCGCGGTTGGCGGTGATAGGGATGTCGCGGACGTCGGAGTTGGGGGAGGTCGGTGGCTTGATGGAGGAGGAGAAATGGGCACGTCGAGATCCGGTGATGGAGATGTCGCAGCCGGCGGTGATGGGGTTGTCGAAAGCGGGGGATAAGAGTGGTTTTTGGGATGTCACGGCCGGCGCTTTCGATGACTTTGTCGGTGGCGGTCGGTGATGGGGATGTCGACAACAGGGGTTTTTGATGACGTTAGTCGGTGGCGGTGATGAGGATGTCAACTACAACGGTGAAGGGCGCGTTTGTGATGCGGGGATTTGGATTTTGGGGATAGCGGGTTTTGGAATGGAAAAAGAGAGTGGGTCACCGAGGAGGATGTTAAACGCGGGCCCGCCCAGCAGCTCTTCGGTGAATTTTTTTCATAAGCCCCCTCTCGCATCGATGGCCAACTATGTCACTGAGCCCGCTTCACGAACTGTCCGGAGCCTTGGATTTTTTTTCAAAAAAAACCCTTCATGCGCTCTGCTCCAACAGCTGGATGCTTGCACAGGTGCGCCATAGAAATGACTATAATATATATATATATATCAGGTATAACCTCTCGGTCCGCGTCAACAGGCTGGTGCGTATCAACTGGTGCGCCATGAGAAATGAACTATATATATACTAATACTATATATTGATTAATATATAATATATATTATATATATATATATATATAACATATAGGGTTCATGAGGGCGAACTGAAAAATATACCAAAAACCTTTCATATACCATCATCACCTTTGATGTTGAATTCGTGATTTAATCGGTAGTACCCAGAGATATCGGGAGTACTTGGTTGCTGTAGGCGTCAAAAATTACCTATGGGCTCCCGTACGCAGCTCAAGACAGAGAAAAGATGATAAACATTATTATCCAAGTTAAGAAAGATTATCTAATGTCGACAAAGTGTATGAAGCGAGTCGACGAAGCACACGAACCAATGGGACGACAGAATAATGAAGAAACGATCCAGTTGAAGGTTACTTTTCATTCACGAAAAGAAAAGTGCCTCTTGTGTCTCGTCCATTCCAAATATGATTAACCTATGGGAAGTTATAGATCTCTCCTTCAGCTTTTTGACGCACTTTGAATCACATTATTCCGAGATCAGACGAGAAAACTATGGCAAAAACAGTCTCAGGCGTCTCGAGAATGCTGTCCGTAGCCAAAGATTCTATCCATAGCCTAAGATTCTATCCACATCCTAAGATTCTGTCTACAACCTAAGATTCTATCCACAGCCTAAGATTCTGTCTGCAGCCTAAGATTCTGTCCGCAGACCAAGATTCTGACCACAGCCCTAGATTCTATTCGCAGCCCAAGATTCTGTCCGTAGCATCCCCAACTAATTTGAGGTTATCTTTGAATGTGGTTAAGTAGTTACAACTGAGGATAAGAGCAAATCGTTCGTTCTTATCCAAAAACAGGGCTTCTGAAGCCTATAAATACAGTCCTAGGGCCTTTATTTGCACAGATTCGAAATTCTCGAGCCTTGACGAAGCCCTGTTGGTTAGGAGACTGAAGGAGCACAAATTTTCAGAGAGGAGAAGGAGATCTCGGTGGCTCATTCGTCATAAAGAGGGGTAGCTCAAGAGAGCTACATCCGATTCATCCGCTTCCCTCGAAATCGTACCTAGCTGTGATTCTCGAGAAGAGTGTGTATTTTGCTTTGCCGAGATATTTGCTTAAGTTTCGTGTCTCCTTTACGAGGCAACGAAACCGTTCTTTTGATCTGATCACTCGATGGTCCACGGATTAACCCCTGCACAGGAAAAGATCTCGCACAAGCAGAAGACCGATAAACGATCTCTGCGTGTGTTCTTAGTAAATCTATCTATTTTATTTTTATTGTATAAGAAAGTCTTATAAAAAGACATAATTATTCTTTTATTTTGAATCCTTGTAACGTCTGAAGATGTAATGGACCTAAAAGCAAAGAAACAGATTTCCGACGCGAACAGTTGCATGATGTATTGCCCTCCCGACATTGATGAAGAAAGATGTACAGAAAGGATCCAAATCGATAAACCTAAGCTTGTTATTTATATTCTAGAAAGCATGCTAGAGTTTTCTTATTTTTCGTTGTCCATAATGTTGTTGTGGATTATTCCTATTGCATGCGTATATTTATTCTGATCCTACAAAAATAAATAAGATCATAGAAGATTATGAAATAGATTAGTTATAAAAAGTAAATGAGAACATACTTACCAAGATGCAGGAAACTTTTCAAATTTATGGTCGGTTATGATAGGGTTAATCGTGGATAGACATCTGAAGTATCATCATTTGAAATTACTACCACTACAACTTTATTTTGTAGTTAGACCCCCTGAGTGAAAGTTTTCTCATTATTTAACTCTAAGTAAAAGAGAATTTTTTTAACAAATAGTATGAGAGTAAAAGAGTTACAAAGAACTTACTTAGTATATCTGCAAAAATAAAAGTAGAAGTATTGGAGATCATATCCTACTAATCATGGGATCACTTACCATATAATTCATCTATTATTCAATTATCTTCCTTTCCTTTAGTCCTAATTCTCTCTTTGTACAAGGCTACACACACATGTACACGTGCGCCCGCGCGCACACACACACACATCCACACACACACATTATATATATATATATATATATAAACACACAATTATAAAAATCTATCATGGTATCAGAGCATGTCTGATACTGCTCTATCAAATCTAATTCTTAAAACCAAATTTTCTTAACCACAAGAAGCATTCTTTTCAGCCATATCGATGGAAACATCAGATTCTACAACAACCATGAGCCTCAAACAAAGAACAATGATAACCTGTTGGCCTTCTTGTTTTGATGATGTTTAACAAACAATTTACCACTAATGTTGTTTGTCTAGTATTTGTGTTTTCGTATTTATTGTAGACAAACAACGTTGTTGGAGGATGGATGGAATAGAGCTTCAACGATCATATCCAAAGGAGGTTGGCGGAATGTCGGTGAAGCCTTGCTATTCAAAGTTCAAGATCCAAGTTCAAGCTTCATACGCGAGATTACCAAGTCAGGCTTAATTGAAGAACAAGATTGCTTGGGTAATTTAGTTTAGGAGTTTATATTATGTGTGTTGGTACTTTAAGCTCAATATCATACACACACACACACATTTATTGGTTTCCATGTATATATATAGTTATATATATACATATATGTTTAGGTTTGATAGTTTTCAAGTTTTACTATGAAACAAATGAATAGAATTGGAAAATACTATTTTGTTTCATGTTTATATGCCTATATATGATTTCACCTTTAACAAGCTTATATTTAATGAAATCATATTTAGTGTTTTAACAATAGTTTACATCTTCTATTAAGTCTATAAAATTATTTTGTATTGTTTCAAAACATGGTTTAGCTAAAATGTCAAAACTCATGTGTTTATATTTTCGTGTTTTGGACCTCCTTGCAAAATGATTATATTTTACATTTGGGAAGTCCTTTTTCGAAACCAGTCACTGTAGCATGTTTATTATCATGTCTACAATCATTCCCCAAAGTTTTACATTTTTTGGAATTTATTTGATATTTTTAAACAGTGTTTCAAAATCAGATTAGAATTTATTTGATAGTTTTAAACAGCGTTTTTAAATCAGATATACAGTTTTCAGCTTCATTTTTCATATGTCAGTTTTCGGTCGACTGAACCGGTCGACCGAACCTGAGTTCTCGTGCTCACTGTGCGACAGAGAGTCTGTCGGTCGACCGGTCCGGTCGACCGAAAGCTCCATCGGTCGACCGCACCGGTCGACCGGTCCGGTCGACCGGTCCGGTCGACCGCACCGGTCGACCGGTCCGGTCGACCGAAAACTCCATCGGTCGACCGCACCGGTCGACCGACGAAGTCTCTGTTTGTTTCGATGTTTTCAGATCTGCTCGCGATCGACCGGATTTTCCGTCGGTCGACTGAATTCTTTCCATCGGTCGACCCAAA